AAGGACTGACACTGTCAATGGCTTAATTTTTGTTTGGATCCACAGTCAACTCCCATGGTAGAAGCAGTGAGAAACCGAAAGATATGTTGAATGTAGAATTGGGAAAATTTGGTATCAAGGACCTCTCCAAAGTGCTAAATAGCCTGATTCAAACCATCGTATTTTCAGTTGCTTCCTTTGCATATCATAGTTGGACAATTAATAAGGAAGACCAAAGAATTGGTGTTGCTTGCACATGGAGAGTCTGACGCTGCCAGCGTTTGACAGTCACCATGAAGTTCAATCTTTTTGTGACCCTGGACTGCAGCAAGAACTGCAAAGGCCACTTCAGTGCCCCCTCACATGTACACAGAAGGATCATGGCCTCCCCGCTCTTCAAGGACCTGTGAGTACAACGTGCACTTCATGCCCAGCTGCAAGGATGACGAGGTTCAGGCTGTGTGAGGAAACTACAAAGGTCAGCACATTGGCAAGTAGTCCAAGTGTACAGTATGTCACCTACCTTGAAAGGGCGGCGCAGTATGAGAAGGGTAATGGTACAGCTCTGCTTGTGGGCATTCACCCAAGCAAGGTGGTTACCCCTGGCTGAAATAGGGTGAAGATGGGGGGGGGGAAATGCCTGAATGTAAAGCCAAATATTGGCAAGTTAGAAAAGAGAAAGGCTAATATAAGGAAGAACTTCGTGAGAAAATGCAGGAGTGAATGCAACCTGTTGAGTAACCACACATTAAATAACTTTCTCGCTGAGTATGTGTTCTTGTGAACATTCCAGAATTTCTCTCATGTGTGCAGAAATGCCTCCATAAACCTATACTTGCAATTTTGATTCATAATTTTAAGAATAAAAGTTGGAAATATTTCCTAGTTTAAAAAAATGATATATTGGTGAAGAGTTCTGAATATACCAGGGACTGCCAAAATAAATCTCTCTTGGAGAAAGTGCAACCAGAGTACTTCTTAGAAGCAAGGATGGTTGGAACTCCCAATTATGTACTTTGAGCATGTTAGGAAGAGAGAATGCCCCTGGGGAAAAGACATTATTCTGGGAAAGGGAGAGCTTCAGTGATAGAGGGGATGATCTTCAATGAGAGGGACTGACACAGGGCTCTAGATGTTGGAGATCATGAAAGTGGTACAGGAGAGGAAAGTTTTGATCAGTTGTTCATAGGGGGGCTATGAATCATAGGCAGCTTGATGATCCCTAAGAATGAGAATTATTACTATTGCTCACAATGAGGAGACAGTTTCCATTGTATTACCTGAGTCCTGTGTCAAAAGAATCATCAGATGAATTTCTCCCTCTGAAAAGACTTAAATGCTCGATATTCATATTAGACTAGACTGGATTTGAGGATAATACACAGTTATTTTGAATAGCTATAAGATCTTATTGATATGTGTCTCTGTAAACTTTCATTAAAATTAATTGAAAAACATAGAAAAGTGTCAACTTTTTATTTTTCTTCTTTTATTGCATTAAAGTCTATTAGCAGAATGTAATATTTTATTATTTTGCCACAGGTAAGGACTGGGTTCAGGTCTGTTTTTCATAGGATTGCTATGGGTTGTACTTGACTCAACAACACTTAACAACTAACAAGAACAATATTTCTTATTAAGTAGAGAATGGTTTGATTTCAGGTTAATTCTAAATTGTAGATTAGAAACATCTTTATGTTAAGATTAACTGTAACATTCACACATTAAATTAAAACAGTCTTCAAAAATAAAATCATGCTTAGTATGTCATATTCTTCCTGGGGCATACTTTAAATGGAGGAATTAGAAGCAAGGAATGATTATTTTCAGATTAGATTATACTTAGTTGTTAAAAAAAGAAAATTAGACCCATATTTCTGCAAAATGATAAGTTAGGTTTAAGTTTTCTTTCTTACATAAATCATGTGGTAATCTGTATAGAGATCATTCAGAATTTCAGTTAAATTGGTGCAGACACCTTAAATTATCATTCTTTTCTACCTTCGGCTAAACAGTTTGGCTTGTTTTTGCAAGAGCTTTTTACTGGGAGGTTGGCTTCTTGCTTTTTTAAAAAAAAATTTGAAGAATTGGCTAGAACTTCACTAGTAGTATCTTTCTTAGCAATATTCCGGTGTGAATCCAAACAACAAGTATCATATTGACAAAGCAAATGCTTTAGAAACTTTTGTTTTATTATGCCTCTGTAGTATTTTGGAAAGAGTTCAGAACTTGATTTTGAAGTCAGAACTTCGGGCAAGATAATTAGCATTTCTGGATTTCAGGTACCTAATATGTAAAGCTGAAATGACTACTTATTTTCATGGCTACTCTGAGGATTAAGTAAGATAATGCCCATAAAATGCTTAGGATACTGTGACATGTCAATTGCTAACGAGTTGATTCTAACTTACAATGACCTTATAAGTCAGACTAGACTTGGGTTTCCAAGTGATCTTTATAGAAGTAGACTGAAAGAGGTTTCTCTCTTGGAGTGATTAGTGTATTAAACTGCTGCCCTTTGGATAATCAATTTAGGCAGAGAAAAAGAAAGCTATATAACAAAATTTTACTAATGTAATGTTAGGACTTTTGAAGAGTTTTACAATTTTTATATTTTTAGAGAAATTGTTTATTATCCTTTAAGTGAAAGTTTACAGAGAAAATATTTTTCAATTCAATACAGATTTTGCTTTATGACATTAATTACAGTCTCCATATTGATGCAGTACTCTTTTGTGTGTTTTTAAAGTATTTTTTAATTTTATTTTATTATACTCACTGGTGTGTGCACAGATGTACAGAGGTAACTCGTGGTTGCTGTGATGCTAAACACCGTGACACTGATGTGCCAAATGCAATAATGGTTACCCATGGTGGACAGTGTTTGGTGGAGCTCCCTGATTAAAACAAACCTGGAAGCAAGAATGGCATCCACTTCTGAAATAGTTTGCCTCCGGAAACTTTATGAACATAGAGAAACAACCAATGTTATACAAGTGTTAAGGTCTTTCATTCATAGGATCACTATGAGTCGTCTGCGACTCTCTGGCACTTAACAACAACAGCAACAACAGTTTATTTACAAAACTCAAATGTTGTTTTTCAGTCCAGATTCCAATTGCCCTCACCACCCCCATCCATCAAATTGTACAACCCCATGGTTAATCCTCCTCACCTTTCCTGCACAGTCTTGTCCCTCTGCTTCCACCTGCCCCCACCTTGGATCCTCATACTCATTCTACAATAATGGTTTTGTAGATTATTTGCCCTTGTGGGACTGAGTTAGTTCAATCGGCATAATCCTCTCCGGTCCCACCTAAACTAGGTAATACTTTACAAAATCATTGTTCCTGCATACCGTACCGTATAGTATTCCATTGTATGAATGTACCATAATTTTCAATCCATTTGATTGTGGTTGGACATCTGGGCCGTTTCCATGTTCTTGTGATGGTTAATAATACGAAGAAGTACTCTTCCCATTTCCTCCTTGTGATTCTCTTTTCCATTCATCTTTATAGTCTATACCTTCCTGCTTCTGTGCTTTCCTCGTAGGAAAATATTGCCTTTGTGGCTTTGTACTATTGATTATTTTATGGAGTGAATACCTCTCTGATGTTATTGCTTAACTTTTAAGCATGTCTATTGTTTGGCTGAGATTTGAGATATTGGGGTTTAGTTTAGTTCCACTTCAAAGAGCTACTAAAAGGCCATAGTGTTTGTGGTCTCATCAGTCTCTTTTTAGACTAGGAAGCTTGGTTACATTTTTTATTTATTTATTCCACATTTTTCTTAGATTGGAGAATTTCTTGCTAGTCACTGTTCACAGTAAGGATTCTTTGAGGGAACAATTTGATCGCTTAAGGAATTTGTCTTCCGCTACTGAGTTAAAGACTTAGATCCAAGAAAAGAAAAAGATTCCTTGATTGAAGGTTTTGTCTCTTACTCTTTGAGTGAATTTTCTGGCAAGTTTGAATTATATACCAGTTACATAGAATTCTCTCTCTACATCATGTGTGTCAAAGTATAAATGTATTCTATAGAATTTTCAGTGTTAATTTTCAAGACAGAGTTAAAGTCTTTCTTCCAAGCAGCCTCTAGAAGACTAGACCTTGTAGCATTTGTGCAATCAGTCTAGTGAATTATTAACCCTTTGTACTAACCAGGGAACTGAAGATCAATGATGTCAATCTGGAGACTAAGGTGCACCTACAGGCCATAGTCTCCACAATTGTTTCCCATGTCTCAGAGAGCTGGACAATGACTAGGCATGATAGAAAAATAATTGATGCCTTTGAGCTATAGTACTGGAGAAGAGTTTTGATTGGACTGCTAGGAGAGTAAGGTTTGTCCTAGAGAGAGTGAAGCCAGCCTGCTCCTTGGAGGCAAGGATTCTGAGGCTTCATCTGACATACTTTTGACATGTTGCGAGGAGGGGCTGGTCCTTGGAGAGGGACATCATGCTTGGAAGGATGGAGGGATGGAAAGAGAGGGAGATCATCGGTGACATGGATTGATACAGTGACTGGGGTAATGAGGGTAGATGTGTCAGAGACAGTGAAGTTGGCACAGGATAGAGCAGATTTCAGGGCTGTTGTACATAGTGTCACTATGAGTCACAAGCTACTCAGTGGCACATAACAACAACAACAACAACAACAACAACTTATCAGGAACTCTTGACTTACATTGTATGTTGCTGTTATATTCCACCACGTCAGAACTGGTTCATATCTTACCTTCCAGGAGTTAAATTGCTCTTAACTTCTTGTTGAGTACCACCGAGTTGGAACCAACCTATAGCTGACCCTCCAGCAAATTTTCAGAGGCAGTTAATTGCATGGGAAGAGATTGCCCATCCATCTCCCATGGAGCAGCTGGTGTCCTAGAACTGTGTGCCTTTGGGATTACAGTGCAGCTTCTTACTACTAGAATACCAGAGCTCTTGAGTTAGGTTATAAATAAATAAAAATTTTCTATAACCCTCTACTTTTAATTCTTGTTTCTGCATTCTCTTTCAGAACTCTTGATGTTTCAGTGAGCTTTAACGGAGGGAAATCTCTCATCTCGGGCTCATTAATAGTCACGGCCACAGAATGTGTAAGTATGCATAGACGTTACCCTTTGAAAACTGTTCTATCCAGGAATAATATATAATATTTCAGTGTTGTTGCACACTACAATGAAAGAGGAAATAACAATAATACTGGTGATGAATATAAGAAAAAATATGTACATATTTATTTTGGCTTCTTTTTAAATGATTTTTTTTCACTGAGCTTCCTTTTAAAGGAATTTATAACAACAGCATACTTTTAAAAATGTATAGTAGTGATAGCTGGACAGTATAAACTTGGCTGAAAAACAAATTATTGAATTTTGTACATTGTGTCATCACAAATACATTTTTGAAGAAACACAAGTAATGGTTATACTCATGAACTTCATCTGATGGACAGGAATCAGACTGACTAAATCTGTGGAAAGAATCACTGGAGAAACAGTCAAAACCAGACCAGGTGCTGACTGTGGAACACACCATTAATTACTCATATGCAAATTCATATTGAAGCTGAAGAAGATTAAAACAAGTCCACAAGAACCAAAAGATGACCTTGGGTCTAATTCACCTGAATTTAAAAAGTCTTCTTAAAGCTGCATAGTAAACTGTTTAGGGAGGGGGGGCCTATAAAAGAGTGAAAGAACTTTTTTTCCCAAGAAAAAACTAATGGGGGTAGTGGGGGCAAGGAGGAAAATATGCAACAATGAAAGAATGGAAATCCAAGTTCTTTATAAAATTTCATTAAGATCTCAAAAAAAAAAAGGAAAAAAATCATCTTAAGAATAGATTTGAGGCACTCAGAGATATCATCCTTAAAGAGAGCAAAGGGTTGTTATAAAAGGAAGAAAGAAAAGCCAAAATGGACGTCCAAAGAGACTTTTAAAATTACAGTAGAGAATCAAGAAACCAAAACAAGGGAAGAGATGCAGAAGTGAAAGAAATGAACAGAAGATTTCAAAGGGTGTGGGCTGCCAAGAAAACAAACAGATTCATCCTAGAGAGGGTTAAACCAGGCTGCTCCTTGGAGGCAAGGATTCTGGGGCTTCACCTGACATACTTTGGACATGTTGTAAGGAGAGTCAGGTCTTTAGAGAGGGACATCATGCTGGGTAGAGTAGAGGGACAGCGCAGGAGGGGAAGACCCTCTATGAGGTGGATTGATTCAGTGACTGGGGTAATCAGGATGGGTGTGTCAGAGGCAATGAGATTGGCACGGGATAGAGCACAGTTTAGGGCTGTTGTACATAGGGTTGCTATGAGTCGCAAATGACTCGGTGGCACATAACAACAACAACAGCTCAAGAAGACAAAGCAAAATATTTTTACAGAATGTGCCAAGAGTTGGAGTCTTAGAACAAGAAGAGAAGAACTCAGTATTTCTTAAGCTGAGTAAGCTGAAAAACAGATTCAAACCTTGAGTTGCAATACTGAGAGATACTATGGAGAAACTCTAATGATCCAGGAAACTCTAATGATCTAATGATCAAAAGATGATGGAGGGAATACACAGTCACGGTAAAAAAAAAATAAATTTGTCAATACTGAGGTCTTTCAGGAAGTACCATATAATCAAAAGCCAATGGCAGCAAAGGAATAAGTTCAAGCCAAGCTGAAGGCATTGACAAAATATAAGGCCCCAAGAATCGATGAGATACAAATTGAAATGTTTTAACTCACAGATGTATCCTTGGACATCCTTACCCATCTGTGTAGGAAATTTGGAAGAAGGCTACTTGTTCAAATGAAAAGTATCTGCATTTGTTCCCATTCCCAACAAAGGTGATCCAACAGAAAGTAGATATTTTCAAACGATATCATTGATATCACATGCAAGCAAAATGTCACTGAAGATTATTATTTCTTTTTTTAAAAAAAGGGTAGAAGACTACCTTGACAGAGAACTGCCAGAAGTTCAAGCTGAGTTAAGAAAAAGTTATGGCACCAGGGATATCATTACGAATAGCAGGTAGATCCTGGCAGAAAGCAAAGAATAGGAAAGGATGTCTATTTGTGTTTTATTGAGTATGCAAGGGCATTTGACTATGTGTTCATAGCAAGCTATGGTTCATATTGAAGAAATGATCTCAGAACATCTAATCATGCTTATGTGAAACCTATATCTAGGCAAGAGCCTGCATTTGAACATCACATGGTTTAAAATCAGAAAAATATGCATCAGGGCTATATTCTGTCTCCATGCCCATTCAATTTGTATATTAAGCAAAGCATCTTTGAGAAGAGGGACTCTATGATAAAAAATGTGGCACCACTTTTGGAGGAAGACCCATCAATAACCTGTAGAAGACATAGCCTTGCTTGATAAAAGTGGAGAGGACTTGAAATGTATGTTGTAGAAGATAAAACAATACAGCCTTCAATATGAATTACAGCTCAATATTAAGAAGACAGAAATCTCACCTCTGGGCAAATCGGCAATATCATAATAAGTACAGAAAAAGAAATTCTCAACTATTTCATCTTGCTTAGATCCACAATCAACACAATTTCCATTAAAAAAAATAAAAAAGTTTAGTACATTGGAAAAGTTTACTGTCAAGGTTATTTCCAAAACACTGAGGAGCAATGCTATCAGTTTGGAGTTCTAATTTGAGCTGTAGTCTTTTCAGTCACTTGCTATGTATCCGAGAGCTGGATGATGAATGAAGATGACAGAAGAAGAATTGATACCTTTATGTTTTAGTGTTGGTGAAGAGTACTGATAGTACAGGATGGGGTTCAAATCTGTTTGTGAGGTTGTTATGCATTGTATCTGACTTAACAGCACAGAACAACAACATACGTTTTGAGGGAACTCTGGTGGCTTGGTGGCAAGGAGTAGTGCTGCCAACCCAAATACACGTGAATTGAATCCACCAGTTGCTTCTCAGGAGAAAGATGGACAATCTCTTCCTATATGATTTACTGCTTCTGAAAACCCACTGTGAGTCTGTTTCTACTTCGTGTTACCTAACGTAACAGCATAACATAGCATGATAATTTACATTTTTACTCTGGTGTTTATAAAAGATAAAATCATATTTAAAATAAAATTAAAGTGGGAGAATGATTTTAAACAGAGGTATATTTTAAGTAACATATCACTTATTTGTGTGTATCTGTACGTGTGTGTATGTATATGTTAATTCTTATCTCTTGGCATGTGATTTACTGTCTCTGAAAACCTGTCTGAGGGTCAGCTATGAGTTGGCTCTGATTCTGTTGTACAAAACAATTATTACGAGTAGGGAACTGTGTCAGTGTGATAAGCATAGTTTGTAAGACTATTGAAAGTATATTTTCATTGTGAATATTGATTTATATTGCCTAAATTGCAATATTTCAAGATATAGACCCCATTCATGAGGTCTATTAAGGGTTTCTTTATATTATTATTCTATATATTAAGAGTTTCTCTTAATAGTTAACTTACTCTGATGTTAGAATTTTACGTATGAAAGCATGAAATTCTATGAGGGGCTGACCACAACTAACCTATATATTTTTTTGTAAAAAATATACAAATCAAATATAATTTCTACCTTTTTCAAAAGAGCAAACCCCCAAATCTGAACATTTTCTCACATCTAATGGTTTCAAAGTTGTGTTTTGACTTCTTTATTTAGGAGATAGCTGCCCTTTAGAAACAAAATTAACTCAGTGTTAACTATATACAGTTTCTCAATAGACAGAAATCTTTTAGGAAAAAGTAGTATCTATTAAGGCTCTCGGGCTACTGTTGAACTCTAGGAATAGTTCTTTTACCACAGTTAGTTGATTTAGGAAAATTATCCTCCCTGTTGCCCTCCCATCTGTGATACCTGTTGCAATTCATAGATTTTGTGCATGTGGCAATTTGTAGAATTTTCTGGTCTTTCAGGATGTGGTTGATGTTACAAACGTTTGTGGTATGTAGTTGATTGGTGCTTAACTCACTGAAATGGTATTCTTTCAGCACCCCCCCCCTTCCTCTTACCTCTGTCATCCTTCACCATTCTCGCACACAGAGAGGAAAACAAATCTTTTTCCTTAGTCTGTAACCACACATGATTGCAACATGCCTGGATGCTGAAGCTCAGTGACTCATTTGCAAATTATAGCTCATGTGCTCTAAGGAATTTGTCCTATTTCTTTCTAATTGTTCGGAGAAGATAATGCAAATTGAGTTGTTTGAAATGAAATGTGACTATTTTAGAAAAAGGGACATTGGCTGTACACAAAAAGGGAGTAAATGAAGGGGCAATTTGAAGCTTTAAATATGAGGTCAATCTAGTCTTCAATAAGAAGGTGAGAATTGAGCAAAGACTTAAATAATGTGAGAGTTAGCCCTAAAGACCTCTTGAAGGAACCGTGTTATATGCAGAGAAAACAGCTAGAACAAAGTCTGTCATGAAATTATGTCTGACAAATGAAAGAATTAACCAGGGAAAGTAGGAAGAGATAATGCAAGCAAGAGTGAGAAGAGAGAGGGCTTTATAAGATCTTTCAATCATTGCAAGGGCTTAAGCTTTCTTCTGAATTCAAGAGAGCCACTGGAGAGTGATATGGTATAAATTAATATTTTTAACGGATCCCTCTGGCTGCTGTGAGAAAGTAGACTTTTCAGATAGGGGAAGAAGTGGGAACATAGAGATTAATTAGGTGAGTATTTTAATAATCTAGCACAGAAAATGTGTGACTTTGTTAGAGTTATACCAGATGATGAGATGTTTCTGAAGAAGAATGTATTTTAAAAGGAGTATCTGAGATTTCTAGAGAGATTAGAGGTGTGCTTTGAAAGAAGAAAGGTAAAAAAAAAAAAAAGAATAGCTTTAAGTGTTGTAGACTGAACCACTAAAAAGATAACTACTGGTGCTGGAGAAGAGTATTGAACATATCATGGACTTCCAGAGGAAGGAAGAGGTTTATTTTGGAGAGGGTGAAAGCAGGCTGCTCCTTAGGGGCAAGGATTTTGAAGTTCCATCTCTCGTACTTTGGGCATATGGCCACTAGAGGGATAAGTCCTTTGAGAAGGATATCGTGCTCGGAAGAGTGGAGGGAC